ATATTATTATTTGTGACGATGAGAGTAAAACTGAGACAAGATGAAAGGACAAAAAAAAAAAAAAAAAAAAAAAAAACGTATGAGGTATTATTAATGTAGTACGGTATTTCTTTTACAGATAAGAATATAGATCTAGGAATTTTTCGAAATTATATGTAAATAATTCAGTGAATCAATAGAAAATAAAACAACCCAGACCGAATTTATGTACTTGCGTTTTTATTGGTTAAAAATTCGCTTATCTAAAGATACCACTTATAATAAAACTTGACTTATATTGGAAATGAAAATAAAAATGAGAGTCCTAAAAATTTAATATTAAAGGGGTACGACATTATTGTGGCTATGGTTTAAATTACTGCGGTTATTGGCAAGATATCCGAGAATGTACTTTATAAAGTTAAATTATTATCATTGATTTTAAAAAAGATTAAAAAGATTTTGAATAAATAATTTTTTATTGGTTCTCGTATGTTTTATCTCATTTAAGAAAGATCATTATAAAATAGATTCTTTTATATTTGTAAAACAATAAAGTTAACAATGTTTAAAAAAAAAAAAAAAAAAAAAATATTTTTTTTTTCATTTCTATATTTTTTACACGTATGAAATTTTTTTTCATTTGTTTTCATAATCAGACACGAAAAAATCGTTGCGGATCATATAGGATGCAAAGGTCATGTCATAATCATCATATTCATCTTATAAAATTTATTAATAATTCAGAAGAGAGTTTTTGCGGTTGGGTAAGTTCACTCTTTGAACTAAAGGTGAAATAGTATTCATTCAATATTTATCAATCTTTAACGATCGTCTTCAAGTAATGAATTAGATTTTTTGAAAAATCCACGGTACTAAGATATCGAATTGATTGAAAAATCCAAATTGATATAATACCGCGTTGTATGAATATATTCAAAGAATTATTAGTTACAATACTTTCTACTTTATTTTTTAATATATTAAGTAAGTTTTAAAATCTCAATTTTGAAAATCAATTTTTTAAAATAAAACACGTTATTGACATGTTATTGACATGTTATTAAAATATTCTCTCTCTCTCTCATATTATACGCCCATTATTTAAAAAACCGTTAATTTTATTGAATTTATATTTATTGAATTAAAAAAAGGTAAAAAAAGGTAATGAATCCTCAATTTAGTTTTCAAAATGAAAAAATGATATAGGAACTTAATTATCTTAGGTATTAAAATCTCACATTTAGAATCCAAACCTAATAGCAATAGGTTATTTGTTTTTAGGTAAGTTTTTGATTCGTTTAAAATTTTAAATAATACTCCGAATTTCTTTATCGTTTGGTTCGTATTTAACAATTGATAACTTTCTACTTTCTTGATCATCCTTCAATAAGTTCTTGATATTTTATTATTAATTATTTCATAATTCTCTTCAAATCGGTAAAAGTATTAATTAAATCTTTTTTAACTTTACAAATTACGAGATTTTTAATCAATTCATCAATAAATTCAGTAAAGACTATGAGCCAATAATTCATTAAGTTCCAAATTGAACTTTTTTATCATTGGACTGTTATTTAAAAAAATATATCTGTATTTTATCTTTTGTTTCGTTATTTGAATAATTGAATTTTTGAATTAATAATTTCAATTATCAAAATTAGTAGTTGAAAATCATTGCAGTGTAAGGTTCTCGATTGAAAATTAGAAGCTCAACGAGTATTAATTTGGGATAATCGACAATTGGTTGGGAAACATTCAAAGATTTTCAAATTTGACGAATGGTGAATGGTTTTTTATCTTATCAATTCTATATTTGAATCGAATTTTAAAGACGAGATTAATTTCCGTTATATTCGCATTCTCATTTTGTAAACAGTTCAATAATTTGTAAGTAATATTTCTGTCTTTTAATAATAGATGTTAAATGAACTTTTAGTTTCTCAACGAAATTTTCTTCCATAATTTTAAAAATTGTTAAATTATTTTATATATTTAATAAAGAATTAAAAATATTTATTTTAGTAATTCTACTATACAAATTAAAACAATTTTAAAGAAAAATAAGATAATAAACTTTCAATTTTTCAATCTTTTTTCATGAATAGATAAATACAAGTATAATGAATGTATCATTCTTTATTTTCTTCTAGATTAAGGAATAAAGTAATATCATCTTCATCCAAGATAAGTTCCATCATTATGGATCTAAATCACCAAGGGCTTGGCTCGCACGTGATCAAACATTTATTAATCTGCATATCCAGTGCCAAACGATAGATAAGTTCAATTGATTGATAAGTAATTGATAAATTTATTATTTTTATTCTCCTCTTCAATTCGTCATAGATACTGTATGCTAATGACTTGATGAAAATAAATATTCAATCCAAATGATTGATTCTGTAACACACCCCAAATTTTATTAATAAGAAAGTTCGAGTTTCAAAATACGTGCAACCATTTTAAGATTAAAAACAATTACTATATCTACTTACCGTATTTACGGAAACAGGGGTGAAAATCATTATAATCCGATAATAGAATTATGTTACTATGTTACGTTGCATAATTAAATAAAAATGTGTAAATACGCGACATATTAAATTTTTAAGTTTGAGTTTGATAATATATAATACAAAAGGGTATTTGTTTTTTGGTTAACGAGAAAAACTTTACAAACGAATTGAGCAAATTAATAATTAAAATTGTATGGTTATGAATATATATGTCCAATCAATTCAATGATTTCAATTTTATTGAGAACTTTTTTTTTTAAAACGCGTAATTTTCTATTGCACAGCCCCAAAAATTTTAATTGTACGTATATATTTATCTATATATATCCAACCAATTAGAATAATTTCAAATTTTATTGAGAACTTTTTTAAAACGCGTAATATTTTATTGCTCAGCCATGATGATCTTTGCAATTTTTTATATTACTTTATCAAAAAAATAAAAAAGAAGCTCGGTAAAAAATTCCGGATTTTCAAAACAATTGACAAATTATAAATCAATAAATTCAAATATATTAAATAACTACGAATAACTTTCCCAAGGTAATAAGATTTTGCAAAGTGATTGGTGTTTGTTAAAAGCTATACTTACTAATTAGGAATAAAATATATAACTCTAATCATGCTGAAACTGAACCCTTTGCGTCTTTTTACCATATTTGTGATTGCGGTGATTGCGGCAACTGATAACGATTTGAGTCCTAACAAAAATCTCGATATCTGAAAATAGAATTTAGGAAGTTTCGTCGATTAAAATATTTATAAATTGTGCTTATATCCTCTCTTTTTTTTTCTTCGTGTTCTTAACACCAATAAATTTAATGACAATATGTAATATTCCTTTCACTTTTATATATTTCTCTTCCTTTCAATGGTTTGTTAATTAAACAAATTTATTACCCCCTCTATACCTACCATCAAAATTTCCCACTCATGTTACATCAAATAAATCATAAAACTCCGTAATCGGTTCTTTAAAAAAACGCTATTTCTTAATTATGTAAAAGACGCATTTAACGATTATTTTTTTCGATAACTTTTAAAAATCTTTTATCACGATTATTTTAAAAAACGACGATGAAATTAATTTCAAAAATTTTTTCTTACCAATCGATCGAATAAGTTCTTAATCGCAACAGCATAGCAACAAATCGTTCGCGTTGCTAATTATTAATTATTATCAACTTCACTATTTAACTTTATATATATATAAAAATTCAGCTTTTTTTTTAAAAAAAAAACCAATGATGGTACAAAATCCCCTTTATCCCCCTTTAGTTTAGTGATACGATCAGAACTTGATCCTCAGGATTTTCTGACATAAGAACACATTTTCTTTTCTTTTTTTTTTCTCAACTCTTTTTTTTAATTAAAAATGTATTCGTATCACAGTGGTTTTTTCCTGTATTTAATCGATTTATCCCTTTTTTTAAAAAATTATTTATTTATATTTGAAAGAATCTAGTTACGTATTATTTTTTTTATTTTAATATGTTACAGATATATACTGAGAGTATATTCTATATGAAAAGTTTCTGTTGGATTAATGTATAACTTAGGTTAAAAATTATGTAATTACATCTGCTTAATAAAGTTCTATCATGTATATAACAAAAACTTCTGTTACTGTTAAATTGTTATGAATAAAACTGATGATAAATAATATGCATTAGTCAGTTTAGTCACGTGTTCGTACAATATTCCTGAAAAGAATATTCTTCCGTACAGTACTCTACCTGTTATTTGTAAATAATAATAAAATACTATATATATGTTTTGATATAGGATTTTAATCTTGTAAAATTTTTAAATTTATTATCAAATAAAAGTATTGCTGTTTTTTTTAACTAATATAATTTTTTAAATTTTATTATCAAATTCATCTAAATTTTTTAGCATATAATATACAATATCATTGTGTATTCTGTACACTTGTAAATAGTATATCATTTTTTTACTATATTAGAAGAACTTTTGGAGGTTTCAACTGGCTAAATTATAAATTGATTATATATGTTTAATAAAATATGCCTAACAAAAGTAGTATATCAGGATCTATTTCTGGGTAACTTAGCTTATTAAATTGCATTATTTTCATTTTAAGCTAATAAAAATAAGTCTAATAGTTCTTATTACCCCATAATTAAGTTTAATTATCCCAATTTCCTTCAT